TGCTTACCTCAACGCTCACCTCGACGACGATGACGTTGTCCTCCTTCGCCTGCCCGCAGGCTGTACTGGCTTTGGGAATATTGTTCGCCTTCGCCGCGGCATGTACGGCCTCCGTCAGTCAGCCCTATTGTGGTACAACGACCTCAAGGACTCTCTCAAAGATCTCGGCTTCGAGCCCATCGAAGCAGATCCCTGCGTCTTCGTCAACCCAACAACAAAGGCCATCATAGTCGTGTACGTTGACGACCTTATCCTTATTACACGTGACGTGACCTCTATGAAGGCACTTAAGTCACAACTCCTCAATCGATACAAGGCTCGTGACCTTGGCCCAATTGGTTTCTACTGGGGCAATTTCGCGATCGTCCACGCTCTCTCTCTATGACGATGATAGCTACGTGATCGCATGTCGATGGAGTATCACCTCGCCAACGCTCCAAAGGCAGACAACCCCCTCCCAAAGTCGGCCCTCTACCCTCATCAAGCGTGATGACATCGCCGACAACAACCTTATACAGCAGTACCAATCGCTCGTCGCGAAGCTACTCTATCCTACCTCCATTATTCGCTGTGACCTAGCTTGGCACGTGAACTTCATGGCACGCTTTGCAAACAACCCTACGTTAGAGCAACTGTCACTGCTAAAGCACATGCTCCGCTACTACAACGGCACGGCAACTCTCGGCATCAAGTACCAAGGTGACCTTAAAGACGCTAATATGGACGACCCAGATCACATGATAGGCCTTAAGGCCTACAGTGACTCCGCCCATGGCGACAACAACGAGCGCAAGTCGTCCTCCGGCTACGTCATCAAGATGGCTGGAGGCGTCGTCTCATACAAATCGTACCGCCAGCGCCTCGTTACTCTCTCCTCCACAGAATCAGAATATATTGCCATGACGTATGCTGCCAAAGAGATCAATTGGCTTCAACGCCTACTCTCTCAGGTTGGATACGTCGGTAACGACCTCAAGCCCTTCAAGCTGTACACCGATAATCAGCCAGCGCTTAATATGATCCGCAAGGACGGCCATCACGAGCGTACAAAGCACATCGACGCGTACTTCAAGTATACAAAGCAGCAGTACAAAGACGGCAACCTCAAGCTCGACTATCTCCCCGGCGTAGAGATGCCCGCCGACGGCCTTACGAAGCCTCTCGACAAACAAGAGCACGCTAAGTTCATTGGCCTCATCGATATGGTGAACGTTCCCCGCATGTAGTCTCTCAAGGCACCTCCAGCGAACGTCTCTTTACGATTTCCTATACATTTCATTCACTCAGATGGCTTGCCACCTGGTTCCGGGGGGTGTGTCGGCCATAGGGCTTATCCCTTGGCTCCTCTTTGGGCAACCAGGCAGCCACCTATTTACCCGCTAGTACCTTTACGGCCTAGCTCCTTCTCTCCTCCCACTGCGTATATAGACCTCTTCCCGATAGCTCTAATACGAGATGATGATTCTCCCCAACCTTGACGCTTGACACAACGCAGCCGGCGATGACGACGTTGTTTTGACTTCATCCATGGGCAGAGATCCTTGAGTATAAACTCAACAGCGGTATCATTTGCCGAGGCATTATCCAGCATAAAGTATCCAATCTGATCTCCGCTAATGTCGTATTCTTCCAGCAATTCAAGGACCACCGATCCAAGATTCTCTCCAGTATGTTCGCCGTATATACGTCGCATACCTAAAGCGGTAACACGTCGCATGCCGGTAGTATCAATCCACATAGCGACGACGCCTAGGATAGCGTAAGGGTTTGGTGAAGTCCAGAGATCAAAGGAGATAGAGATCCTACTCCGTGAATGGTGTAGGTCCTCCCTAAGCTGTTGCTTCTTCGATATGAATGCATTCATTACCCAGCTTCGGATAGTCTTCGCAGCCTTCGGGAGGTGGTTGAGTAGTGCCGGATTTAAAAAGAGGAGTAGTTCACGAAAGTACTGGTTCTCTAATTGAAAGAAGGCGATATGGCAGTACACAATCCAACGAATTAGAAGCTCTTTAAACTTCTCTACTGACTCCTTCCAGAAAAAGATGCTGGAAGCAGCCCCATCCTTTTGCTGGTCGATTATAGACTTCCGTACAGAACCCTTTCGCTTGATGCCACTCTGGGGATCAATCTGGTGCTTCTGTTCCAGGTGATTCCGGATCCTAGAAGTGCCATTGATGACAAACAACTCTTGCTTGCTCTTCCCAACCCTGCACTCATGGCAGTAATACACCTCTTTCTTATCGCTATCTCGAATGTATTGGAGTCCGTACTTCCAGATGTGTGATGTACCTTGACGGAAATCCTTCCTTGCAATTATTGCACGTTTCACGTACGTGATACCGCCCTGCACGAACTCATCTGGAGATTCGTGATATTGAATAGGAGTGGGTGATAGTATAGGGGTGGGTGATGACGTGGGGATAGGAGATGGAGTAAGAGACGTTAAATCTAGTCTTATAATATTCGATGGGGACGGTGAGGTTGGTGTTGAAGGCTCCATAACAATAGTATATAAGTAGGTTGTTAAGGACTTGATTGTTCTATGTAAGTAGAAGACTTACCTTGATCTTAATGACTCATATTGTGCTAAATTTTCTGGCTAGATTAGTCTAAGATCTAGTCACGTGGACCTATTTATAGCCGGACCGGTCCGATCATCTAGACCGGTCCGACCACGGTCTCAAAAAATCGCCAGACCAGACCAAGTCTTGGCGGTCTAGACCAGACCAAGACCAAGTCAGACCAGACCATTCCGATCACTGTATGTGATCGATACAAGGGAGGCGTTTGTGGAAAGATGTTGGGGATACTGAACAATCAATTTTACAAAAATCTATGAGAGAATGAAGATTTACGCCTCGGCGTCCGGTATTTGAATAAGACTCCTGTTCTAGCAACGAAAAACCGTGCTGATTTGCTATCACCCCTGGTCATAATTGATCAAATTCATCCATTGTATACCCCCTCCCATTTTCCTATATCAGATCCTCTTCTTTACTCTCCGGTCGCTGCGCAAGGACTTCCTTAATCCGTTCTTCTAATTGGGTACGCTGTGGTGTCTTCCTCGCATTTGGGTACGTATAATGACTGCCTGTCGACTATGTTTGTTTAGCTGTGTGTCTTTGGAAAAGAGAAAATGACGAATACCTGTGCGTATGCCTCATCCATCATCTCGACTTGCCAAGCCAAATCCTCGACTTCATCAGAAGGCCAATCCTCCTGACGTATAAGATACTCAATGCCCATCTCGACTACTTTCACCTCTGACTTGTTGTTTCTGAAGAATTGGTATGTCGGTAACACCATTTCTACAAAGTTGAGCCAGATCCGAAAGTGCTCAATATACATCGCCTCCCTGCGATCGAATGGTGATACAATGACCAGCGTGATTTTGGGTTTTTTCGCAAACGAACTCTTCTCAATGAAAGTAATTTCACGACGGTATTTGTCGTATACTCTCTGCTCTTCCCGTGGGTAGTCTTCCTCCGGTTGTCCAGGCCCATCCACATCATCATCATTTTCCCAACCAGCATCTTCGAGAAAGTCGTCACATCGAATGTAGATCACGATGTTTTTTCACCCAGTCTCTTGGAACGTACCCGCATGGGAACGGGGTGTCGATGAACGTCCTCATCAAACGAGCATCTCGGAAATGCAGAACATTCTCTCCTAGATATAACTGCCTGATCTCTTTGGCGGTAACATCGCCAAAATACTCTTTGTTGAAGATGTACCGGTTCCGAATTTCCTCCATTCTTTCCTTGGCGCGCTCCATTCTTTCTTCATAAGATTCCACACAAGGCTCTGGCTCATCAGGGTCCACCGATGTCACCAGTTTGTAGGGGTCATGGTTTTGATAAAAGCCATGGATAAAGTCGGGTATGTGAACACCAGCCTCTTCATGACATAGACACTCGTAGATCGCAAAACGCAATTCTGCAGCGCCTCCGAGCACCTTTTGTATGCCATCCGCGAGTTTCCTGAGATCATCCCATTCGCACTGGAGAATCCGGGCATCAAGCTTTCTACATTGCGTCAGAAATGGTCTTTTCCGCGCCATGGGTTCGTACTTATTGAGCTGCTTCACCTCATCTTCTAGGTCCGCCAATTTTTCATATGCGTCTGCGTTGCCATCAAAGTCAACGTTGTCACCATTAAGCCTAGCTCTAATATTCTCAGTTTTCTCTATGTTCTCGTTGAGTTTCTTATATCACCTAATCCTTGTCAGCAATGGCAAAGCTCGCGCATTTGCGGCGGCGCCTCTTACCATCGAAGCTCTAGTCACGCAGCCCGTGTAGCTCGCGATCGGTGATCTATGTGGGAACTCTCTGACACGTGCGCCATCTGTTAGTTGGCCAAAGTCTTAGAGTCATTGCTGAATTCCAAAGCTACGACTTCGCGACAGAGGAAGAGAAAGGAGATGGCGACGTGGGGCCCTGACCCGTTATAGAACCTCCAAGAAACGGGATCACAGGCAGCCTAACCTGAAAGCGGCTAGTGGATGAGGTACCCCGATCGAAGATCAACCCCACCAACAACACAATAATCACTATCAACAACTGCTACAACAGCGAGACTGTATTTTATAGCGTTACTTTTGAAAGCTTAATTAACGTATCCGTTGCGCGACAGAAAATTCGAAGGCACTTCTGCCTTTCCTTGTCATATATCGGCTCCTTGCCGACTTCTCTCGCAAAAGAGCCGATCGGGGCGAAACAGAGTGGTGCGGATCGATGCATCGGGAGTACTGCCATCAGCGTCTCTAATCACAACAGACAAGTCGGCACAGGTGTTCGGATAAATTTGATTCATTAAGTAAACAGATTAATCGGAGCCTCGACAGAATTTCTATGTCAAGGAACTACTCCTAGCCGTCCATTACCCATCACATCATGATGAGCTCTTAAGCAGGGGGAGAAGTGGGTACAGGGACGCCAGGGGGACAATGCCTATTCAATGGGTCAGGGCGATACGCAAGAATGATTTAATATGGGAAGTGCTTACCAGTGGTCATTGTGTGGCTCGCAGGCCTCAGCGGGGGCCGCAGGAGCAGCGGCGGCCGAAGAGGTTGCAGAAGCTTTGGTGGGAGTCGCGGACGCAGCCGAAGAACTTGTGGCAGCAGGGGCGGGTGACTCCTTTGGCTTGTAAGTGCCGGAGCACCCAATGCCAGGGACAGCGATGTCGTGGGCATAAGCTTCAAGAGCAAAGTACTGGAGAGCATCGCTGTCTCTTACGGCGAAAGTGGCATTGTTCTTGGCGAGATTCATAACACCAGGGTATTTTTCACCACTTTCGCCGATGTAGTGCTCCACGACACCTTCGCCGACAGATGGAACGTGGAGGAGACGATGAACGAGGTCGGAAGCCCAGAAGTAGTTTGTGGGACCGTTCGCGACATTGTAGCCATGCATGCACATGGCCTCAAGTGGCTTGCGAATCTCATATGATAGGTCGCAGATGACTGTCTCTTGTGAGGCATTTGAGCCACGCCAGTGACCGGCCCAGCCTATTGTAAGTTAGTCATCACAATCAAGTTCTGGACGCTCGAATACCACACACCTGATTGACCACAGTTGCCATCAATGTTGTCGCAGCGGAACAAGATATCGGCTTTGTCACCATCCGCGAGCTTAGTGTACCAGCCGATTGGTTCGCCTGTAGGAGCGTTGCCAAAGTACTTGGTATAGATCTCTGAAGAGTTACCCCATCGTAGAATGTGATCCCGGGCGTGGCTAACGATGGTAATGGCCTCGTTCAAGCCCTTTTGTAGCATCGTGCGCTGAGTAGCGTTGCAGGAAGCGTGAATGGGGAAGTTCTGAACTGCACCAGCATTCCATGTTGTAGCTACAGGAGTGGCTGCAACAGGCGCTGCGGTCGTCAAGCCATTCTGTCGAGGAACGATAGGCCCAGCGATGGCCGCAGAAGCTCCAAAGAGCATCAAAGCAGAGAGACGAGCAACCATTTTGAGATTAAAGAGATGGACTGTAACGAAGTGCCAAGGTTGCAGATGCAAATCGGTGTTTAGGGAGTTCCCGAGAAGTTGGATGCTGGGTTCAAATATTTGGAGACGAGGTGTATGCTCTTTATATCCCAGGAACAAGGCTATCACCTCTCCAACAAAAGCGGACCTTGATAACAAGCGTCATATTCAGCTGTCCAGATCCCACGTGGAATACACCATTTGTCAAACAGGTCTACTTATGGCTAGTGTATTTCCGTTAGGACAATGTTGGAGAAGGTCCCTCTACTCCGTCGGATGCACGTACCACGTGGTAGCTTGGCGGATGATAAAACTGGGCTGGAGAATATATTTCCCCACTCCGAGGATTGGTTACTGTGCATCTAAGTACCATGATGGACACCCGAGGCTGGAAAATTCTTACACACAAGTAACCAGACGGCAGGAGGTATACCTACGTTGGGTAAGGTCATCGGCATTACTGCGGGGGTCCTAGGATGCCGAAGGTTCCTTCTGGATTGGTATGTCACTTTGAGTACCGAGAACACGACCTCGGGACGCTGAAAATGCGAACGTCGATTATGCAGACGGCAGGAGTTGTGTTATGCTGTGAATAACTCACCTGCACCCTGACATGAGAGCAAGGTAAGTATTCCAGGGTAAAATCACATAATGCCCTTCTAAACAGAGTAATCGTATAGGTAGATGTATAGACACTCTCAGCTCTTGAAAGCTGTGTGATGGAGGATGCCGAAGATATTCCGGGTCGACTACTCCATCACCAGGGCACACCGGACATCCCGATGATCCATCGCCAAGTCTTCCGCCACCACCAAAATGGTGCTCTCCCGCCCGCTACTACATGCATAGCCAAGACTTCAACCAAAAAGTAAACTGCCATGTCTGGTTCGACGAGCATTCCGGAGTGGGTACATGCCAAGGTAAATCACTCATCACGGTGCTCATGCCAAGAGCTCACTTGACGCTTATTGTGGAAGGAAGCGTGGGAAGGAAAAGCTCTTCACAGTTTCGTGCCGGCCTGTATCCATCGTGGTATATTGCGCCGGTCGGTTGGGAGGATGGAAGCGTGTACTCAATATATGAAGACGGTTCCGCTGTCACTCCAACAGCCGAACATTGCACTTCTACGGTACGACCATCCTGAAAGGGAACAGTGAGCCACCCAAACCCAAACTGCTCGGTACCAAACGATAGCATCCGACTAGTCACACTTCGCACTTGTATATCGCACGCGTGCATATATCAAGTTCACACGTCGCTTCGCTTATCTTACATACTCACTAAGCCTGGATCATGCGTTCAGCTATGCTGTCTACGCTACCTACCGCGGCAGTGCTGCTTGCAGCCTTTGTGGCAGCTCAAACCCCAGCAATGACCCCTGCACCTACTCCAGCCACCACATCATTCGTTCCAACCCTCACAGCCGTCTCGGAATGTCACCCACACAGTACAGTTCTGTAAGTATACAGTCTCTCTTCGGAAGAAAGCTGAGAGCTAACTAGTGTAGGTGGTGCATGGCTGGTACCGAAGAGTACCAGGTCGTAGGACCTACCAAAACTGAAGAGTTCCAAGCACAGTATACGGACTGTCACACACATGGCTCCGAGACGTTAGTATACATATCAGAAGTACTGAGCCCCGACTAACATACTTAGGTTTTGTGTCGATGAGGCTGGTGAAGACGTTCAAGTTCTTACCGAAGCTGCGGAAGCAGCTCCAGAACCAAAGCCATCATCAGGTGGCAAGAAAGACTGCCACTTCCACGCCGGCGTCGAGCACTGCGTCGGTGGCGATGAGGGTTCGTCTGCTGCAGCATCGTCGGGTGGCAAGAAAGACTGCCACTTCCATGCCGACGTCGAGCACTGCGTGGGTGGAGATGAGGAATCGAATTGCGATGCCACTCAGCGAGACTACAATATCGGTCTACGAGTCGGTCTCCTCTTTGTCATCCTTGTCACCAGCGCCATTGGTGTCTTCACCCCTGTGTTGACCAGGAAGTTCAATCTCGTCGGAGATAACAACATCATCTTCGTTGTCTTGAAGCAGTTCGGAACTGGCATCGTCATCTCCACCGCATTCATTCACCTTTTCACCCATGCAGATCTCATGTTCGGGAACAGTTGTCTGGGTGAGCTGAAGTACGAAGGAACAACCGCCGCCATCTTCATGGCCGGTCTTTTCTTGTCGTTCCTGATCGACTATCTCGGTGCGCGCTTTGTGCAGTGGCGCCAGGGCAAGCAGGTCGGCGGTAACGCTGATGTCTCCACTGTCAGAAGCAACGACAAGTCCAGCAACACATCTACCTCGGCACCTGCTGATCCTGAATCCAACCACAGCCATGCTCATGGCTCCGCACGCGCTTTGACGCCAATGGAAGCGAAGATTAACGTCATGAACCTCGAGGCTGGTATCATCTTCCATTCAATCCGTAAGTTCACTCTTTGGCATAAACTAGAATCAAACTAACATGTTACTAGTCATTGGTATTACACTCGTAGTGTCAGGTGACTCTTTCTTCATCACACTATTTATTGTCATTCTCTTCCATCAGATGTTTGAAGGCATCGCGCTGGGAACCTGCATTGCCGAGCTTCCTCCTGCTGCTGCCGGTACACTACAAAAACTCCTCATGGCCGGTCTTTTTGCGCTCATTACACCGCTCGGTATGGCAATCGGCATCGGCGTGCTTAACCAGTTCAACGGAAATGACCCCAGCACCATCGTTGCCATCGGAACGCTCGACGCGCTTTCCGCTGGTATCCTGGCGTGGGTTGGTATTGTAGAGATGTTGGCGAGGGACTGGATGAGTGGAAATTTGCTGCATGCTGGTCCGCTCAGGACTTCGTTGGCAATGTTTGCGCTCATTTGCGGGTTGGTGCTCATGAGTGTACTGGGCAAGTGGGCTTGAATGAATACCGCTAGTCATACCCGGAGGTTTACTGTGCAGAGATTGGGCTGCAGATTTAGACTAGATCGTTCTCCAGTTTATTAATGTACTTGTATCCCCTACGTTTATGCTTGGAAGTGATCGATCATTCCGTTATGGTACCCTTCATGCTTTGCTTTCCATAACTATCCCAAATCCCCAGTTGCCAATGTCCGTCGGTCTCCCTTTCCCCTTCCTTCGTAGCAGTTTTTTCTAGTAGAATTCGATACGGCTCATCCACATATAGTGGGCTCATAGCGCGATAGGAGATCGACTTGGGCACCGCCTCTGTGTCTCCGCTCTTACTGGTGTCTCTCCAAAAGTCCAGCATGTTGACCAGGTTCAGGGGGCCATGAACAACAGCATTCCTATGACCCTCTACCTCTCTGCACCACTCAGGCAGGTAATGTATCTTATGACCATTGAATGTCAATGCTGAAAAGCGAAATAAAGAAATCGGTGTCTGACAAAAGTCTCTTTGGTTTGACCCAATCGGTAGAGGCTTTTCTGGCGGTCTTGGGGGCGCTTTCACTGGGTTTTCCGGAGTAAGTTCGCGCTGGAACACCCAGTTACGTTGATCCGTTAATGCGATGCCGTGGTCGTTTGAGAAGGTCTTCTCGACCCCCACAACTAACATCTCGCCACCGTTCTTCAAAGACTTTGGCTCCGCGCTCAACAGCTTCGTCGTCTCTTTCACTTCCTGTCCGACTCTCAACAACGCGGTTCGATCTTGTTTCCATGTCAATTCGCCCCCTGCCCACATCCTTCTTGTATAAGGGCTCAAGGGATTTACCGTCCTATCTGTGCCATCTAGACCCAATTCAGACTCAATAATTGAGGGCGTGAAGTAGACGAGATGATAGCCTGGTGGGACTGGCGTGCCGTTTGGTGAAGGATTGAAAGATGAGGGAGTGTGATTCAACGTGATACTTAGCAGTTGAAGCTGATTTGCATCGAGGACTTGTTTACGTATCGAGATGGGCCCATTCTGAAAGCGGGTGAGGAGCTCGCTGCATGCCTCAGATGCCGAAGCTTGCCTACGGCATGCTGATGTGAAAAGGCGGCAGTTGAGATATCGTGACATGGCACCGTATCTCGTCCGTCTCCTATCTCCACACCAAAACGAATACAAGTTGTGTTGCTGGGCGAGGAGGGGGCCCCGACGCATAGCCGATATCGATAACGTTACCTAGGCAGGCCAGCCAGCCGTCTTCAGTCAACAAAAGGTAAGATTATCAAAGTCCCGTAATCACCCGGAAAAATCGCAAGCCTAGCAACGCATATATGTAAACATATCATCTCAGCAAGATTGCCGTGGAATGCATCCGTGAACGTGTGACGAGTCATGTGTTGCCAAGGCCCCACGTTCGATCTCATAACCGACTGAGAAGTCGGCTTCTTCCAAAATTCAGGCTTCGGCCAGCATGTCCGAACCGGCACGAAAACGCGCAAGATTGGCATGCGTGACCTGTAATGCGCGACGGGTCAAATGCGATGTTACCGACCGACAGCCTTGTAGTAACTGTATAGCCGGCAATGTCCAATGCGAGACGCGCGAATCGAGGCGAGGGAAACACGTGAGGAAGCCGCGGGCAGAGACGGAAGTGCGCACCCAAACGTAAGTTGATGGGATCTTGACGCGCTTTCCAGGATGAGAATGACTGAACCATGACCAGATCGCCCATTGCGCCTGTTTCAAGCCCGCAGCGACACGATGACGAGGTCGCCGCGTCGCACGTGCTAGCCTCCCTATCGTCAAACTTCCACAGCCCTCTCAACACTCAAGCCCCGGTCACTGGAAGTCCTTACCAACTCGGCACGCCAGCAGTTTCATCGGAACATCAAAGCAACACATCTGGGGTAGAGAATGCCCAACACGAAGATGCTGTATTTCTTGGTGAATCCAGCTCATTGCGTTATGTGACGGGTGAGCCATCTGCGGCAGCCGCGGAGCGCCGGCAGTCATGCTTTCGTCATGCTATCCCGAGGGCCGTAAGAGCAGAAGCCCTCGTTCCTGAGTGGGAAACAGAGAGACGCGTCGCCAGAAAGATAGCGCTGCAAGCAGAAGGTGCTTTCACATTTCCTCCTACCGAAGTCCGAGGTGAGCTCCTGGAGGCTTACTTCAAGTGGTTTCACCCACACTTCGCAATCCTCGACGAAGAGGACTTCTGGGCATCTTACTATGGATTTGAATTTTCAGGCCTACTCCTACAAGCCATGATGTTCATTGGCGTCATACACTGTGAAGAGTCAACGCTCAACAATCTTGGATGGGGCAACCGTCATCGTGCGAAATGGCTCTTTTATATTAGAGCCAAAGATATCTACGACGCCACTGTCGAGACCAACAAGGTCATAGTCATACAGGCTCTGTTTTTGATGAGCTTCTGGCGAGCGGGCCCGTTGCTGGAGAAGGACGCTCGTCATTGGCTTGGGACAGCCATCAGTCTCTCCCAGACCAGGGCACTGCATCGATCCGGTGGGGACACTGAAGAAAAGCTCACCCGACTTAAGAGACGTCTCTGGTGGGCCATTTACGTCCGCGAGAGACAATGCGCAACAGCTCTAGGATTACCATGCCGAATACGCGACAAAGATTGTGACATCGAGCCCTTATCACTCGCTGATTTTACGTCCGCCTTCAAGCCCTCAACTTCATCCGATGACCGGAATTGCTATACTACCTACGCCATAAGCATGCTACAATTAGCCGTCTTTCTAGGCAGGGTAGTTGACGCGGGGTACCTGCCAAATCGTACGCTCATACCCGAAGATAGATCGCGGATCCGCGACGACTTGTACAAGTGGAGGAAGGACCTTCCAACTCCCATGCAAATGTACACTGATAATGGCGATGCTCCCAACTTCCAGGCCTGTATGTTACATCTCGCGTATAACAACCTGCTCATACTGCTCGACCGCACCAGTTTCATCTTGGATGAAACCGGCAATACCGTAACGGACGGCAACGTTGCGCTACAGGCCGCGGCGCGTAACGCGCGCATAGTCGAAGACATGCTTCCATATGGGAACATAGGGCACGCTCAGATGCACGTAATCACCAACCTCTTCAATACGCTCTGCATCCATGTTGTAAACTTCAGGCGCTCAGTTGGCATTCACAGAACGCTCGCGGAGCACCGGGCAAAGGTCTGTCTGCTGGGTCTTCAGGAGCTTCAAAAGACGTGGGAAGTGACGAACTGGGTGTTACAGCTATTTTTCCAGTATCTCGATAGAGAAACTGCTTCGAGGTTGGCAGTGGAAGCAGATGATGGGAACGCTAGTCAGCAACCAGACGGACAAGCTTCAACCAGTACTACAGCGCAGCAACCATCCCAGCATCCCGCTACGGATAGCATCGTGCCTCGTCATACGCAACAATCTGGAGATCTTACACCATCTTCGAACAGTCCAAAGCCCTGGTTGTGGACTTTGGATAAAGCCGACCAGTATCTTTTCGAACAGATCGAGAACGACTTTGCGTTCGGCGAAGGTGGATTACAGCAGTGGGGTCCAGAGGATGTATTGAACGATTCCGTCTACAGTTGAGTGTGCGTTGTTGAGATTTGGTGGCCATGATGATTGTGGAGGTGATACTGGGTGTTGTTTGTATACCGGTACAAACCCTTGATCCAAGAGAACCGGGAATATCGCAGTAGATGTTGGGCACGATCTAAGCATGATCGTCGATTCCAAACTCCGCAGGGGCATAACAGCATTATCCTCGAATGCATCAATCGTCGATATGTTAGCGGAGTTTATATTTGGGAAAGGGACGCGTGGCGTGCCCGCTCGGCGCGATGCGCGGGGACTTTCATGGGACAGAGCCAGGTACCGAAGCCGATCCGAAATTCTTGGGTAGTGTCTCTGCCAATCTCCTTAGACGCTATAACGAACCGGCATTTCCCAAGTAAAACCTCCTATGTGTGTCTTTGGTGCATCCGTGACTTTTGCGTGTACGTTATGGTTACGTTTGTCTTTGATGCAACCTTGACATTTGCAAATACGTCATATATAGACAAATTCATCATAAGTAACGCATTAGTGATTTTAATCTCGAATGAATGCGAGGGAGCAAATGTCACATCAACTTCGAATATGCAGTGACTGCTAAGCCAAAACGAATCCATACCAACCAGACCATCTATATCCTGCCGACTGCAAAACTTTCTCACACCTCACAAGCCTCCACTTTAAACATCCCTTCCACAACCTTACAATCCCTACCGTACAGCTCAACCGCATCCCTCACCGCCTCTTCTACTGTCATATCCTCCACCCCCACAGTCTCATTTTCAACTAACTGAGTGAAATTATTCGCCCTTAGAGGCTCGTAGAACTGGTTACTAATATTCAACCCCTTGAGCGCATTACCCCTCTGCCCTCCTGCTATCACTTTCTCCTCCTTCTCCCTTTCCAGAATGATCATAGCGTTCTGATTGATTTTTGCAACGTCAATGTGTTCGACTGTGAATTTGGTGTCCAGTACAGATTCGATGGCATGGAGAAGGGCGTTTTGCGTTGGTTTGGTTTCTGCGTTGATAAAAGGGTAGATGTAAATTGGTCGGTTCCGGATGGGCTGGGGGTTGCGTAGCATATTCGCTGCTGCCAGAGCGATGGTGGGGAGGGGTGTCCAATATAGAGGATTATTGCCTGTACCGTAGATGCGTGCTTCTTTGGTGGGTATGGAGAAGCCAGCCGGACCCTTTGTCAGCCCTGATAGTAAGTTAGACGGATTCAATGTGATCACAGGGAAGAAGGTTGGTACTGACACATATCAAAGAACGGCCCGCCGTTCAAACTCGTCCATGCGATTTTACCCGCCTTACCGACCTCTTCCAGATACTCTCTGATTCTGTACTTTGCTCCAGCGAAACTTTCAGGCAGACTTTTGAAGCGCTCGCTCGTGACATGGCCTACGAATTCGTTTGCGAAGAAGAACTTGACGTCTGCGGCGATTGCGGCATCGATTATTATTTTCGAGGGCTCGTATTGCGTTGCTCCGCCAGTGATGCAGTTAACGATAGCGTCTTGGCCGTGGAATGCATGTTTGAGAGATTCAAGGGAGCTGTAGTCAACTGTTTTGTGTGTGATTGAGGTGTTTGGGGGTGCCGTGTAAGTTGATGTTTGACGTGTGATGGCCGTGATGGAGAAGCGAGGGGAGTATTTGAGGAGTTCTGTGATGATAGCCTTGCCCACGTTTCCCCCAGGCTATATTTGTTAGCATGGGGTTGCGTTCTACGTTATAGTTCGCAGAATAGTTAGTGCAGGGATCAAACGCACTCCGAGAATAGCAATGTTCTTGAGCTCCATAGTGACTGGTCAACTTTAAGGCTTTTTGTATTTGTGTGTTTGCTGTGTTATTTTGATGAAGCACAATGCACCTCTAAGGGCAATTGGAGCCTTTATATCTGCTGCAGCTGAAGTGCTCGCCAGCATAGCATCCTACCGAAAGTGTAACTGCTTACACATATTGCCATCCTTCAGATCCTACTCAAGGATAAGGGGTTAGGCTGAAGTAGGCATACATGCCTGCGTTGTTGCGTTGTTGCCTAAGATCATGTGATCGTGTTCGTCTGGAGTTTAGTCAGCTCCGCGGGATTGAAAGGCACCCCGCCAAGAGTGCGCCTGTCTTGTTTGGTGGGTGATGGTACAATGAGGATTAGCGCTTACACGTGCCATGTCGGCGTCTGACCTTTGGCGTCGCCACTAATATCAGATGCCGACCGAGCAAATCAACTTTTGTACAAATAAAGCTTGAAGCATCTGACTGCGTCGCAAAGCGCTCTGGTGATCAGAGAGATTTCATTAGATGTTACTGCAAAGTCTCACTATCATGCATGCGATGTGACTACAAATTCAGGATATATATGTAACGTCCGACGCAGTGTGATGTCAAAGCGAAGATGGCGGGGCAGCGGAGGGGCATGCTGGGTTGCATCATCGCGATATCGCAATGTTTGTCGCAACACAACTGAGCACCGTAAGAGACAGACAGTATGCTCTCTATTGGTCAATGCAGATTTATCCAGCTCGGTCCGAGATGAACCGGTCCCAAGAGCTCCGTTGGTGGGAGGACAGCGTGTAAACTGGGCCAAATGCCGCTTCGCTGGAGATAACATTACCCGGCAACTCCTCCACCTTCTCCCCTCTATTCTACCAGACTCAAACGATTAACTGTGACTTCTCACTGTTATATTCAAATATTCGCCATGTCCCAACGAGCAGCTCTCCTCATCGGCACGCTGTCACACGCGCAGAAAGAATGGGAGCAGGTCTCACAGATCGCATCCAAGCTTCACACTTATCCCGATGGCAACCGAGACGACTTCATCTCAAAATGCAAGAGCGGCGAATTCGATGGTGTATATGCGCTGTACCGAAGTAACGACTCAAACCCAATTACAGGAGATTTCAACGCAGAACTGTTGGAGGTTTTGCCCAAGAGCTTAAAGTACATCTGCCACAATGGCGCCGGCTACAACAACATCGACGTCGCAGCATGCACAAAGAGGGGCATTTCAGTATCGAGTACACCAATAGCAGTCAACGACGCGACTGCGGATGTCGCGATCTGGCTCATGCTCGGTGCGCTCCGCAACATCAAGCAATCCTTCATGGCAGTCAACAGCGGTCAGTCCCTCTCAAACCTCAAAACGCAACGGTGCATCAACTGACACATGCGCAGGCAAATGGCGCGGTAACTTCTCTCTCGGTCACGACCCAAAGAACAAGACGCTCGGAATCCTCGGCATGGGCGGTATCGGTTCGGCAGTTGCGCATCGCGCAAAGGCATTCGGCATGAAGATACAATACCACAACCGTCACCAGCTGCCCGGTAGCGAGGAGCACGGCGCCAAGTACGTAAGCTTCGACGAGCTACTCAGGACATCAGATGTTCTTAGCTTGAACTTGGCACTCAACCCTTCTACCAAACACATCATCGGCAAGGAGCAATTCGCCGCGATGAAGGACGGCGTAGTCATTGTAAACACAGCGCGAGGCGCATTGATCGACGAGGCAGCCCTGGTAGACGCGCTCAAGAGCGGCAAGGTCTGGACTGTCGGATTAGACGTATTCGAGGAAGAACCCAAGATCCACCCTGGGCTTCTAGAATGCGAAAACGCTGTATTGCTTCCCCATGTCGGAACAGGGACATACGAGACACAGGTGAGTTTTTCTCCTCGATATTTAGATGGCTGGGACCCTGGCTAACGAACCCTTCTTTTCTTAGCGCGACATGGAGATACTGGTCATAGACAACCTGAAGTCGGCTATACAGACCGATAAGTTGTTGACGCAGGTACCCGAGCAAAAGAAGGACAAGGCGAATATATGATAGGTTGCGTAGACGATTGGTTGCGGACATGGGGGCTCTGGTAGTTAGTTTCCACGTCCAAGTCATGGGTAGAGGGATGAATAGACTCGATATGCCTCCAAATACCGTAGGGTCCTATTATCGCATGTGAAATAACAAACATCGCAGCCCACTCCAGCTTCGGCATCTGTAAATGCAATAATCCGGCCAATAAGAACATCTTCACATCTGCGACGATCTAACTTTCGTCGCGGAGATGAAAGATCTAGGGTCGGTCTTTGGCAGCATGTGGAGAAGCAAAGGCCTTTGCCAGCTGAAGTTTAGCACATATCGGCCTTTGAGACTTTTCAGCTGTCGCGCGCAAGTGCCAGAATTGCCGGTAAAGCGTTTATGCTCACATGCACAATTTAAGCGTCGCCCATGTGGCAGGGGGAGTGGAAGCTACACGCCACCATGCTAAACAAGCCTTTACACCCGAACAACCGATAGCCTCAACATTCAGATGCCGCGTTCACAGCACTGCACAGCTCAACGCCAGCGATACCTCTCCACCCCATCTTATCGCATCCAGTCCAGTCTCTCACAGCCCACACGTGAGAACAACTAGCCCTCGGCATTTGAATTGGTGGAACAACAAATCCCACCCATCACACTTTCGCGCGCCTGACCCACTTGCAAGATGTGGAGTCCCCACAAACCCCATATATCCCCACGTCATAAGAAAATCCAAGCTTTCATCGCAAGCGCAGCAGCGCACACTTTACCGGCCGACAAGCCCCCGGGTTCTGTTATCGGAGTTTGACGTGACATGACAGGGCCCTGGCGACGCTTGCTGCAGTTGCTGAATCGATATAGGTATATATAGTCGGGAAGCTGGCCCGATTCTTCTACATGTAAAAGAGATCGGGCCTGTTCGTCGTGTTTTTGAGCGTCGCCTTGTTTTATTTGCAATTTTTTTCTCTCTCTTCGGTTCTTGTGACTTGCAAGGGAGATAGGTATCTCTCTCACACACCGCAACAATGGCCAAGCTCAACATGGCCGAAGTTTGGGCCGACATCAAGACGTATCGTAGGGCTTACTTGCTTACCGCCGTGGCCTCGTTTGGCGGTATGCTGTTTGGTTGGGACACTGGGCTCATTGGCGGTACGTACTACTTGCTAACTATTTTCCCCATCATCACCCGACCATACACTATTCGTAACAATGCCGACCAAGCTAACCGCATTCAGGTGTCCTCACAATGGACGCGTTCCAGCATTCGTTCAATCTCGACAAGAATAGCCCTCACTTTGCCAATCTCCAGGGTAACATTGTGTCTGTGGTTACAGGCCGGTTGCTTCTTTGGGGCGCTTGCTAGTTTCTACGTGTCTGACACTTTCGGGACGCCAAGTGGGCCGCTTTATTATTGCGGATATAATTTTTATCCCTGGGGTCCGCTGGTGCAGACGCTGAGTGGGATTGGGAATACGAATTTGGGCCAGCTTTATGCTGGGAGGGTTATTGGCGGGTTTGGGGTGGGGTTGATTTTCGGCTGTTGTGCCAACGTATATTGGGGAGAATGCTCCCGAGGGCGATTAGGGGACGTTGCATTGGGTGCATGGTAACTTCTTTCGTTAAGTGGGGGTTTTTATGGAAGAAAGCTAATTTGTGTAGCAACTCTTCAACGTCACTGGTATCTGTCTGTCATTTTTCGTCAACTACGGCATTGCGCTGGATATCAAGAGCCCCACCGACTCGACAAAATGGCGTGTGCCGTTCGCCCTCCAGATACTCCCTGGCGCTTTCTTGCTGGTTGGCATGCTCTTCATGAACGAGTCTCCCCGCTGGCTGGTCGAGAAGAACAGACTTACCGATGCTGCCAAAGCGCTCGCCCATGTCCGCGGCAAGAGCATAGAGGACCCAGAAGTCGTCGAGGAACTCGATGAAATCATTGCCGACTTCAACGGTCACGAGAAGATGCCTATGATTGCCCAACTCAAGTCTGCCTGCTCCAGCAAAAAGATGCTCTACCGATCCAGTTTTGTCGTAATTCTCATGTTTTGGCAACAGTGGACGGGCACGAATTCGTACGTTTCAAGTAGAAACTCGGCGACTGGCATTTTACTGACGTCTACCCCGTCTAGGATCAACTACTACGCCCCACAGATCTTCAAGCAGATCGGCCTTGCCGGCAGCACTTCTGGATTATTCGTACGTTTTCTCTGCATGTATAAAATTCATGCAAGACATGTGCTGACCCGCCTAGGCGACCGGAGTATACGGGATTGTCAAGATCGTTGTAACGGCAATCGGGCTTATGGCTTTTACGGAGCAGCTCGGCCGAAAGTGGTCGTTACTCATCGGATCCATGGGCCAGGCTTTTGCCATGTACTATATTGGCATTAATCAGGCAGTCCATCCGCCCACGGGCGAGCTTGACGGCAACGCAATCTTTGCCATCATGTGCGTATACCTGTTTGTGGTCTTTTACTCATTCGGATGGGGGCCGATTCCGTTTGTGCTGGCATCCGAATGCAGTCCCAACCACGTACGCTCTCTGCTCATGGCAGCGTCGTTGATGACTCAGTGGCTTTTCAACTTTGTCATTGCAAAGATTACTCCCCTGATGCTGGACAATATTACGTACGGAACGTTTCTTTTGTTTGGGTCGTTGTGCATTGTCATGGGTATCTGGGCGGTGTTTTGCGTGCCGGAGACTAAAGGGGTGCGTCTGGAGTCGATTGGTGAACTGTTCGAGGGCAGCATCATCAAGGGGTGCATTCAGGACACGATTCCCAGCAAGTCACGGGCTCGGCAGCTCAGACACCACCACGCTACGGAGGCGGCCGATGGCGATGGCGATGCTAGCTCGATGAAAAGCGGTCATGGCAAGGCGAGGCGAGTTGAGCGGATCGAGGAGGTGTAGGGCAGCAGTGGGAGCGGCGAGCGGCGAGTGGAAAAAGCACACGAGTAGAGTGCTTACAGCGCGGGGCGGCGCATAGGGCGGGCTAGCCATGCACGTATAGGGACGTGAGAAATGCAATGCCGAAGTTCAACTTGACCGCTCCGTGTGCATCACGTTTCTTAAAGCCAATGGACGGCCAAGAGGCAAAGGTAGCAGTGCATCAGGATCTGTACGACGTGTTCGTACAGCGAAGATCGCGAGCGGAACTGGTCATTTAATCGGGCCGGACGACAGGGTATTTTGCACCGGACGAGTCACGAGGACCTTGAGACTGCCCTACGGTGAGGTTGGGTAGCACAGGGCTATCCTGCCCTAAGCGGGGTCAGAGAGGCCAGTGTCAGTTGGGCAGCGGATGGACAGTTAGTCTGTTACAGCTTAGACAGGCCGTACCAGTAGACGCAGTACCAAGTACGACAAGCAGCTAGCCGGGGGCGGGGCGGCGTTTGCGACGTTACTGACAGCACCGGCAGGCAGGGGGATAGATGCCGCGCGACGAGTACCCGGCGTTGATGCCAGGTTGATGTAAGATTGACTTGTAGCTGCAGCAGCGCAATCCCAGAGTGAAGCGTCTCAGGAAAAAAAAGACGGTACAGGTAGTTAGTGTGCGGACCCTGTTTTGGAGTGGGCGCAGGTGCTGCAGTGAAATGCGCCTGCAGGGTTGTGCGGGCCCAAGCGAGCGATGACATAGTGCAATCTGCCCTCCGTCGACGTAACAAGCCTCAACCAGGTGGGCGGAGTGCGCATCTTCCTCTGCATCCGATACTTCTCACAGCTGCGTCTGCTTGATTATCCTTACAGCGTCTTTTGTGCTCCAACCCCGTGCTGCCAGCGCAAACAGGCCACCCCGCAACTCCGTCTATCAATACTCTCGCTCGTCAGGTGCTTCTGCGGCACTTTGGTCCCCTCCGCCTCATTCGTTGCCTCGTTGTATCCACTGCGCAGCCGTGTCTCCTGGGCAGACCCTAGGAGCGCATGCAATTATCACGTTGAATTTGCTGTATCCTCACCCCCGCCCCCTGTAGTGCCTAGCCTTCACCATTCGTTCCAGGGAACTTGGGCGCCTTCTACAACCATCGGGCAACCTGTTCGCGCTCAGCTAGCCGCAGTGCCAGCTCGTCTGTGCCCACCGGCGCTGCTCCGCCAAAAACGTTCATATGTACGTCCATCTGCGACTTTGCTGCTCGCCAGACCTAATCCTTAATTCTCTCGAGTTCGTGCCTTTGGTTGTAGACGCCCCTGACTCAAACACTGTGCTGATATCATGTTGGGCAGCGTTCTCATCCCCCCTAAGCCCGCGGGCCTAAGGAGGAATACTACTTATACGCCCACTGCGGCGCCGCCCCTTCCCCCGCGCCCAAACTCCTTCACGACCACGCCTGCCGCCAAAACTGCTGTTCTGCAGAAGACCCAAGGTGTCCAGGTCAAGACCGTCACCCTGTCCGGTGCTACCATGGACTCGCGATACACCCGCCCCTCGTCACCGCGGGCACGGTACGCCAACCCCGCCAGATCGTCGACAGGCACCTTTGCAGACCCCTACTATGATGCTTCCTACTATGGCCGCCCCAGTTCGCCGCGCTCCAGTCTTAACCACCTCGGCACAACCGCCCATCACTCGCCGTCGTCGTCTTACTACATGCCCACCACAGCCGCCTCCTCGCGCGCAGCAAGCAGCCTCAAGTATGACTCGTCATACACCACAGCAGCACGCCCCCGCCGCAACACCGGTGACATTACGAGGCCCAACGTGAGCACCAGCGCCCTCCCCCAGACGTCGCTGCCACACCGATCCGCCGCCCCGTACTCGCCGCACACTCATACCCACACCCACACCCACGCCGAGCGCCCACGCAGCCCGCTAGCACCGACCTATGGCAAGTTGGACAACACATACATCACCCCAAACATTTCTCGGACCCATAAAAAGGTCTACAGCGTGGACGATGCAAGCCACTTGACCAAACTTGTGGCTGAGGTTGACCCTGCGCGCCATCGGGAACATGCAGACCGCGGTTACACTGTCACGAGCGGCGGCCGCAGCTACCACGACACAAAGCCGAAGCCGCGCATCTCCGATGTCAGTAACGAGGGCTATTCTTACACCGATCCTGCGAGCATGTACCGTGACACTGAGCCAGCCTGGCGGAGACCACGTGCTGGTAGTCTGGAACGAAGCGCGCGTCCTTCTAGTATGATTGCGGACCGCCAGGCCAGGACCTCTACCCGCGAATCCGGTCCTCCTCCGTCGACTCGTGGGTTTGACAAGATCAACGGTGTTCCCCGGTCACATGGCAGGTCGAGCTCCATCGAGCGAGCACGCGACGTTCCCAAGTACGACCTTTACTCTTCAGACCCCGGCATCGGACGGTCCTCTTCCACTCGCGGTCACACACAGGCTGCGACGGTTCACCAGGAGCCTCGTCGAGACACATACCGGGACGAGTACACACGCCGAGACCGAGACGTTGAAAACAAGAGGCACAGCACTGCTTTCGAAGACCGCGATGTCACTTCACGAGGGTTTGGCATAGCGCCCGGTCTCGGAGCCTCCACCCTCGCCCATGATCACCACGCCCTGGACCGACAGCCACTCTACCCCGCCGCAGAGCCTGCTCGAGCCAGACCCCAGGAAACCAGCCAGTATTATCAACCCGAGCGTGCTGAAGTACGCATGCCCGACCCCCGTCCTGTCCGTGAACGCGATGTTGTACCATCTCAAGACTACGACAGGCGGACTCGTGAGCGCGAGAATGGCCGACATGAGCCCAACGGGTTCCTTCCTACTGCTGCCGGCGCAGCAACGGGTGTTGCAGCGACTCTGGCAGCCGCCAACTACCTCAAAAACCGTGACAAGGAGCGAAACAGCGACCGCGAGCGGAACAGTGACCGGGACTCCTCGGCCGAACGAGAGCGAGAACGCCGAAAGGCACAAGATGAACGTGACAGGCAGGATCGCCCTGATGAGCGCCGCGAGAGAAAACCCGAGGGCCGTCGCAACTCCATCGCGCCAGCCCCACCGCCACCTGTCGCACCACCTGTGGCTCCTGCTGCGATTGCTGCTCCCGATTACCCACCCATTCTAGAACCAGAACGTAAGCATCGCGACCGACGATACGAAGAGGAAGAGAGGGAGCGATCCTCGCGCAAGCCCCCGCCACCATTGTCCGAAGGCAGTGGCGATGAACGACCACGGCATTACGTTGATCGGGATACTGAACGTCGGAGAGACGTCGCGCCAAAAGAGGCGGCCTTGGACCCTGATGAGGAATACCGTCGACGCATTCAGCAGGAAGCCGAGCGAGCTAGCCGCAGCACTCGCGATCGAGAAAGCGATTCGGAGCGTGAGAAGGATCGTAGGCGCCGCAAGGACGAGCGCTCCAGATCCCGGGGCCCTGAAGAACGCTCACGTGCATCTCCGCCCAGGGATGCGCCCAGCTCCAGGTACGACGAGCGTTCTTCGTCCGTACATGACGGCGGCATGGTTCAAGAGCCAGAGTCTCTCGATAGGTCGACAGAATCTGCTGGGAAGAGCGTACAGATTGTAGAGCCCCCTAAGGAACCGGTTGCACCTGTCAAGGGTATCCTTCGCAAGCCGACCGAAAAGTTTCCAGAGGACCCCGAGCCCATCCGCGAAGGCGTTGCACCCCACAAGGATGCGCTCAAAGGAAAGGATATCCCTGTCGGCGCTCGCTGGACCAGGATTGACCGTCGCCTGGTCAACCCCGAAGCTCTAGAGCAGGCCAAGGAGCGCTTCGAAGAGCGCATGGACTGCGTAATTGTGCTCCGTGTTTTGACCAAGGAAGAGATCCAGAAGCTCGCCGATCGTACCAAGAAGATCCGCGAGAGCAGAGGTCAGTTATTTGATTAGTTTGATCAAGTGATTAATGCTCACATTCATGCAGAGGAAGACTATGAGCACGAGCGTCGCGACCGAGGTGACCGTGACAAGCGCAGCCACAGGTCCAGGGATGACAGAGATGATGAGGACCGGGACCGTCGACGCCGCTACGACGATGAGAGCGACTACGACGACCGCGAACGTGACCGACCCAAAAAGCTCGAGATTGAGGCCGCAAGGTGATTACTGTAATGTGTCTTACACATGGCAGGACACCTAGTAGTTATCATAGTTGGATTTCTCAGCATTCGCTTACGTCTCATCAAAAAGTAGAGGGTCGCAGTTTCGGGAAGAGTACCGCGAGTCGAGAAAGAAGAAAAGTCGAGATACATCACCGTGCGAACAGCGCACATCAAAACGGAAACGCCTATCCAGGCATGAGGTGGACGGTACAGTTCAAGATCGCTCTTGGTCGGACCGCAAGCGTAGTTGTAGTACTCCAGCGCACAGATTTCTCCCATGTGGCTCTTCGGCGCAAGATCTTGTTTGGGGCGACCGTAGAAAGAAAAGTCGCATCAGCAGGGTACTGGATTGGCTATGAAAGTACAGGGCGATGACAATCTTGGGTACGGCGGCGTCTTAGGGGTAGAGGTTTGATTTTCGATTAGATCACGATCGAATGCGAGGGAGGCATCATTGTACATTATTCAGGACCTTTGTTGAAATCAAAACATTCTTATACCACCATCTGCCGTTCATTCATTAGAAGCTAGTATGCATGTAATGGCCTTTTGGGTCTGAGCAGTCTCCGGTTTTCTGATACCCACAATCTATCTACTTTTTGGAAGGATTAGGGCTGATTGTGTCATCTGGGAACTTGCGGAAGATGTCGGCAATATGGTCAATAGGCGCAGCCAGCAAACCCATGGGACCTTCGAAGTACGGGTTCTAAAACTATCAGTTAGTACACAGACACACGAGCGAGTAGTGGTGCAATCAACATACCTCACCAGCACTAGGATGCGCCCTACTCGGCACAAACATCTTGGTCCTCTCAAACCTCTTCGCCAACCCCTCACTCTCCCCCTCATTCTTCCTCAGCGCCTCCTCCAACAACGGCAAATCCTCCCTCTCCTCCTCCTCAATATGCTTCTTCAGCACGCTCCACAAGTTCTCCAGCTTGGGAATATACGTCGAACTACTCGCATCTGTATTTTGGAAGTCTTTCAGCAGCTCCTTGACCTCGTGGTGCTGCGCGCGGTCGGCATCAGCATGCTGTTTTCCCGCGGCGCCCAGGTAATTTTCCATGGCTGGGTAGACGAGGAGTTCCTCGGCGACGGAGTGGCGGGCGAGCTCCCAGGTGAATAGGTTGCCGTACCGGGTTTGGTGGTCGATGTCGGTGGGGTGATCGACTATTTCGCGGTAGGAGGTTTCAAGGACGCGGTGGTCGTGGGTTATGGCTGAGGTGATGGTGGTGAAGAGGGCGGCGTGGGGGCGAGGCATGATGGAAATGAGACGAGTGGTCAGGGGGCGTGAGGCTGCGAGGGTAAAGGTGCGGGAGGCGAACATTTAGAAGATTGTGGAGTTTGGTTTGATGTTGCTGATACTTGGTTTGGGATAGAAGAGAGAGATGGAAGTTGAGAAATATAGCTGGTGGTAAGGTGTTGTCTCATTCTGATTATCACGATACTACGTCACTTGTTCGCCAGACGGACGTTACAATACAGTAGGCGGCGTCTGGTCACTGCTTTGCTTGTTTCGAGCCTCAGCTGGTACCATCGTGTCGCACGACAAGCTCCCTGACGATTCCTTCCTCCATGATTGGACCGGTAGCAGCACCGTCATGTCAACGACGTGCCAGAACCTAAAGGTGGAGAGGTGGAGCACCGTGGTCAGTAAGTGGGGCTTCGAATCACGCCTATTGGCCCCCGTCACTTTACCATGACGCCCCAACATGCGAAAGTCAAGAAATGCCATCTGAGTGCCCCTCTCCACATGCATCTGCGCTACCCACGCACCATAAATACCCGCCACGAATGAGCGGTAGTGTATTAGTCTTATCGTGCAGACAAAGGTCTGGATCTGCAAGTCCCCCACCAACGCCGGCTCGAAAAAGGAAGTTGGCCTAGCTATACAGCCCATTCAGCACACCGATGCGACACTGCACTATACTCAAACCATCGAATCTTGCTGTCACTAGCCGTGCACGTGAAGTTGTGGCATGCAACCCCTCTTCCTACCTGTCTACGCGTCAGAAGTACATCACCCTGACAATATGCTAAACAGAATACCACTGCTCCGCGCGACATGTTTTCCGTTGACGCGATCATGGCGTATCGATCGCCAACTCTCCCGCTCCTGCAAACACAATGTATTCTTATACCCTTTCTCGTCCCACATGTTTCCAGCTTTTTTAAATGGAAGTATCCACATATTCACTCGACAAACTCACAGCAGCCATGTCGACGGGCGCAAACACCAACCAGAATGACCCCATGCAGCACCCCCTCGAGGCCATCTCGCAGGGCATCCAGAGCGTGAGTGGTGAGAAGAGGGCGCCTAGGCAAAGCCATATGGGGTCTGCTAATGAGGGGCCGGCGGATGTTATTGCAAAGGTTTCTGGGGCTGTTCAGGGGGGCATCAGGGAGGATGATGGGCCGTATTTTACTAACAATGAGGGGCATCCGTGGCCAGATACGTAAGTTGACTGTTGACTCGGGGAAGTGAGTGTGTGCTAATTAGGATTGTAGTGCTCATAGTAAGACGGTTGGTGGACTGCCTCTTGCGAGTGATGTCTGGTTGTTTCAGAAACAGCAGACGTTTAATCGGTCCAAGAATTTGGAGAGGATGGTACATCCGTGTGGGTCTGGGGCGTTTGGGTACTTTGAGTGTACGCAGAAGGTTGATCAGCTTACGGTATGTCGCCAACATGAGTAAAAATATCAGATCCTGGCTAATTGGACCAACAGAAAGCAAACTTCCTCTCCAGTGTCGGTGAAAAGACACCCGTCTTCGTCCGCTTCTCCACTGTAACAGTCGGCCGCGAATACCCAGACGAAGCCCGCAACCCTCGCGGCTTCGCCATCAAATTCTACACAGCCGAAGGAAACTACGACATCGTCGGTCTCAACTTCCCCGTCTTCTTCTGTCGCGACCCCATCCAAGGCCCCGACGTTATCCGCTCCCAAGCCCGCAACCCCAAGAACTTCCTCCCGGATTATGACGCCATCTTCGACCTGCTCGCCAATACCCCCGAGAGCAACCATGCAGGTCTCATGTTCTTCAGCGACCACGGCACACCGGTTGGCTGGCGTTTCAACCACGGTTATGGGTGCCACACGTTCAAGTGGGTGAATGCACAAGGCAAATTCGTCTACATCAAATACCACTTCATCGCCAAGCACGGCCAAAAGCAATTCACCCAAGAACAAGCCACACGCATGTGCGGCGAGGACCCAGATTTTTCTAAGCGTGACCTCTGGGAAACCATCGAGTCGGGCACCGAACCCCTCGAATGGACCGCCATGGTGCAAGTCATGGAGCCCCAGGATGCCGACCCGGAGAAACTCGGTTTCGACCCCTTTGACGTGACCAAAATCTGGCCCCGCGCTCAGTTCCCCATGCGAGAATTCGGCCGCTTGGTGCTGAACAAGAACCCGGAAAACTACCACCGCGATGTCGAACAAGCTGCCTTTTCCCCCGGTAGCATGGTCCCCGGTATCGAAGACTCCCCTGACCCACTCCTGCAGTTCAGAATGTTCTTCTACCGTGACGCACAATACCACCGCATCGGCGTAAATCTCCACCAAATACCCGTAAACTGCCCCTTTCTTTCGAAATCCTTCTCCCCGCTGCAGTTCGACGGGCCCATGCGCGTGGATGCGAACCATGCGGGGAACAAACAGTACACGCCCAACAGCTTCGCTCACAAATTCCGCCCTGATGTCGCCGAAGCGCCCTACCAAGTCTCCGACAATATCGTCAGTCGCAAAAGCCACTATTGGCACGAGGCTAAGCGCAACGAGTACGACCAACCGCGCGAACTGTGGAGCAGAGTTATGACGGAAGAACAGAGGCAAAACACCATCAAGAATACGTTTAATATGCTCAAGTTTGTGGGGTATGCGGATATCCAGAAGAAGTATCTTGCCCAGGTTTATAATATTGGGACAGATTATGCAAGGGGGATTTATGATTTGTTGGTGAGCCAGGAGGATGAGGCGAAGAGGCCGGGATTTGGCTTCGACGAGGTGGAGAAGTTGGCCGAAACGGCGCATGTGTGGTTCAAGGAGGAAAAGTTTAGACCAAGTGGTGGGGAGAGGTTGACGGGGTATGCGCCGACTGTGCCGGTTTATAATTAGGTTGTTTTCTTTGCTTGGGTAAGAGGTGGGTTTGGTGGAGGGTGGTTGATATCAGTGAAAAAATTGTAATTTGCGTGTCACAGCCAGCGAGAGCTGAACAAGCTATTCATTATCATGCTCTATAAACTTTTGTTCAATATGGTAATCTAGTGCCTAGCCGCAGAGCTCACCTGAGTTCCCAGCCGGGAATCTCAATCTCAGCAGTGTCTCATACGCACTTGAGGGAATGCTCGATTCAAGAAAAACACCACTTCTATACCTGCCCATGGTTACTATGGTGGCCCTCCGCTAAACCCTTGGTCCTGGTTTTGTTGTGGGCCTTGACTCTGACCTTGATTGTAGCCCTGACCTTGGATCTGGCTTTGGCCTTGGTCTTGGTCATAGTTCTCAAACGCCGCCGGATCCCAGTCCCAATTGTCAAACGTCATCTGATAGGGATTCCCGTAAAACAATTGCATCTGCGGCTGACCATATTCCATGAGGCTGGCACCTGGATCGTTTAAATATTCCGTCCCTGAGACATCGTTCCGGTAGGAGTTGCCGGCATTGTCTTGCGGGAAGAAAGGGCCACCAGCGAAGGTATCAGAGCCCGGCCAAAGATCATCCATTGGCTCCGGCACGAGTGCTCGAACAAACTCTGGTTGTGGTTGTGGTTGTGGTTGTGGCGGCTGTTCGAGCGCGAAATCTTGCGCGCCGTACCCTTGTTGGTCTTCTGTAATTGGTTGTGATTGTGGCATCTGCCTTGCAGCTGCGTCTTTCTCTTTCTGCTTACTTAGGACTTTCGCCACGACATCGTATGCGCTCTTGCTGACAGCGTCAACGGTTCCCATCGACTGAAGCCACGCTATCAGCTTATCGATGCACGATGCCACCTGAGATTTGTCGCCTGTCAAGTGGACACCGTCTAATGCGAGCTCCAATAGGAACACAGTGAGTCCTTGCATGACTAGAAAACATATCAGTTAATCTACCTTTCTGAAAACCGATATAACTTACTCATATGGACAGCGGCCCACCACGGACCGTTCTTATAGAACCACGCTGGGTTTGGAGGATCAGGTAGCATGGAAGTGATGGCGAGTGCTGCACCAATGCAACCTTCAGCCATCTTTTTGTTGAAACGTGCCGAATCTTCACTTTGTCCCTTGATGCGCAGATCCAGACGACACAAACACGGGCGGGTAATGCATACCTTGGCGTTTTGATAGTAGAGATGGAGTAGCAACTGCTCCCTGCCCAGATTATGCTCTGATGGAGTCGCAGATGGGTCGTGCGATAGTGACTTCAAAGCCCAGGCTTCCAGCTCTTCAGACAGCGAACTAATTTTGGCTTGTGCACTCTTCCAGGACTTCGCCGACTTCTTTCCAGAGTACAGTCCTGAGAGGATCTTGCCCATCAGTATGTCAAGCCTGACATAGGCTACGTCAAACGCGTCCACGACTGTATCGGTATGTGCTTCACCCGTGGAAGAGGCAGACGCCCGAATTATAGAATGGGATGAAATAGACTGATTGGATTGTGCGTTCCCATGGGCTGCCTGCATATCTGTTCCAATTGTGCCTGGTGGAGGTACCGTGCAGTCCTTGGCGGCTATAGCACGAGGACGTCCAGTTATTGTAGTCAGAACGCACTCGATGGAATACAAAGCCCACCAAATTTGGGCCAATGCCATCTTCCTCTTGGAGTCGACAGTGACATCTTCATTTCTAAGATGGAGTCCTGCAGCTTGTGCATGACGGATAGCTATGCCAATCGTGTACCAAGCCCTGGGGATCGATTAGTACGCGAACATACTACTCATAGGGTAGCGGAATCTTCTCTCCAAAAGTGTACGACTTACTTGCTGACATGACCGATCGTTAAATAGTAAAAGGAGAGCAGTCCCGTTGCCTAATACTGTCAGAAACGGGCGCGCTTTACCCATAAGAATACTTGCCCGAATAAGAGCCTGATCGGGACGCGAGATAAGAGTGTCGACTGAATCAAGCTGTAAGAGATGTACTGCTCTCGACATGTAGACCAGGTGGTCATGATCATCGGCTCGCCAATCAGCTCCGATCAGATGTGAGTAGCGCGCACCAATAGCGAATACGAGATTCAAAGTGGCCTTCCACTTGGGGCACACGTTGACGGTGTAGCCACGATCTCTATTGAAGAAGGCCCGCAATTGGTTCTCATAGACTTCATCCAGGATCTTGAAGGGGCGGTGAACGGCTTGTGAGTAGTAGTCAAACAGCATAATAGCCGTTTGAGCAGTTGGGAGGATGTGTGGATTTTCAATGTCGATATCGATGTGTATGTGATCGAGGTAGAAGTAATAACCGGTAAATGAGTTTTGATGAATGCCTTTTTTCTCGGCCTTTTGCTGACGCTGACGAAGCGCCTCAGCGCGCTGGTTGAAAGCCTGACCGGATTCTCCAGGGGGTCCATAAGGCATATTAGAAGGCTCACCTTCAGGTTGTTCGACCTTGGCCTCAAGGGCACGTAGCCACTGAGTTTGCGAGTTGCGACCACAATAGCCTGCGGTGTTGTTCGCGTCTTCATTTTGTAGAAGATCCTCCTGAATGAAGTCCAAGTCTTCGTTGGAACCTACCGAGGCCGAAACAAAAGCCTCGCCGCCATCGGCCGAGTTGAGGCTTCTTGCATCTTCATTGTCCTGGGACGACGTCTGTCTTGGCCGCTTGCTGTGCGAAGTGTTTGGTCGTGAGAGAGTTAGCGGAGGAGGGGTGTCACCGTCAAACGAAGCCAGGGTATCCTGGACCCTCCTCCTTGCCTGCTCGTCGAGCTGGCTGCTGATATCAAGCAGGAGCTGGGTTAGCACTTCGTTCTTATGTACAGCTCTGGCGCAATGTTAGCACGAGTCGCGGTCTGCATGATGGCTGGGGCTACCGAACCCTCGTAGCCGATCCTTGCGTTCTTCGTCATAGTGACAGTCGGTTTCATGTTTGGCGCAATAGACGCAGCGTGGACGTTCACCAGAGCATTTGATCTCTGGCTGTAGTCAGCAAGCTTCGAGCTGTAGCCAGGAGAACATCAGCTAGGCGAAGTCTCGAGGCATGGATGGAACTAGGAGGGGCCCACTTCGTTTGCGGCACTGGGTACACTAGGCGCAGCCGTCAGTGCCGATCCAACATGCAAGCGTGTATACAACTACTACTTACAGCCTTGCTCACTACGTCAGTACGCACTCGGGGCGCTCGTGTGGCTGCCGGCATCTGGTAGTCGCGACCTTGGATCCTTGGAATCGCCACTTTTGCGTCTTGTCGATACGACGAGCTGAGGCCCTCAGGCGGACCGGACCGGTCGTCCATGCAATCAGTAGCCGAAAGGCGAGTACGGTCGACGGTCGAAAGGCGTGGGCGAGATGGACAACATGTGCGTCAGTGTAGTGGGTCAGCTCGGATAGCGTCGTCAAGCTTGGCGGTGGATGAACTTGGGCATCTCTGGCGGAGAGGAAGGATACGATTGAAGACACAGGCATTACAGGCAATTAGGCGGGATAATTATGTTATGTATGGCTAACTTCGTGACGAGAAATGCTGTGATTGGTCTGGGCGATTACCGCCGCGACCAATGGACAAGTAAGTGGCGACGTCATGTGTGGGAGAAGCTGCCCACTTGTGCATTTAGGTACCAGATTGCGGAACGACCAATGGATGCATCAACACCTAGCCATCTATCCCACATTGGCCAGCCTTCGGTCTCTCTTCGGTGCCGCCAGCCTACCATGAGGTTGGAAGACATTGTAGGCGCAGGAGCATGTGAGGCCTGTCGCGGTCGCATCACAAAGGTAAGGCCGACGTGCTGATCATCGACGGCTTCGAATCTTCGAATACGAGCGAATCGTTTCTGACATGTGCTAGTGCTCTGTTGAACGTCCGCAATGCTCACAATGTCACAGGCGTCAGACGCCATGCAACTACCTGATCCTGCCTCCGGCCCGGCCCGACATGTCCAAACGCAGCCAGCAGCCTAGCTCACCAGAGCGCGTGGCAGATTATGGGCTCGAGCAAGTCTTTGCTCTCCTCCGCTCCCAGCCATTTCATGTTGCCCAACAAATTCTCATCCACATCCGTCGTGGTACTGACATTCACTCGATTCTGCGCTACGTCGAGTATGGCAGTCTTCGTCTACAGCTGATGCTTGTCCCGGATACAACATTCCAATTCACGTCGCCCTATCTCGCCGACATGATGCCACTCTTTCAAGGCACCGATAACCCATATCTCAGCTCGAGACTGTATCAGGCTTTGTCAGCCGAGGCATCCCAACAAGGTACCGAGGCTGTAGAGCATGCCATCTACCGCGTGCCTTATCCCGGTGCTCGCATCTATGATCCACGAATATCGCCCGAACTACTCAAGCCATCCAAGTGGACTTCAGTGAGCTCGGATCATGTCTTTCTTACTCGGCTCCTTGAGGCATACTTGTTATATGAGTATCCGCTCTGGCCATGCTTCCACAAGGATCATTTCCTCGGTGATATGACTTCTGGAAGAACTGATTATTGCTCGCCACTCCTTGTGAATGCCATTCTAACAGCTGCATGCCATGGGATGGGTACCTTGCAAGACCGCGCCGAGTTCTGGAACCCCAAGACGCACAGCTATCTCTGTATGGCCGAGACGCGGCGACTCTGGAAGCAGGAGCAAGAGCAAGGTGTCTTAAGCCTCCCTTCCGTTCAGGCCGCCACTATCCTAGGCAGAGTATACTTCGCCAACGGAATGGATAGTATGGGCTGGAGCACGTGGACTGATGCGGTGGCTATTGCGAACAAACTAGATCTGTACGATATAAAACCACACTTTAGCGAGAAGGAACGTGTGTCGAGAACCATCACAGCTTGGGGAATATTCTCGCAGCAGTCGTATGAGCCAAATTACTCACCTCACAATGCCACACTTCTAGGTGCTGATTCAGATTTAGATTCTCTTGCTTCTACCTCATGAAGCCTCCGCTTTCTCGATTTCCACCCCAGGATGGGCTGCCGAACTACGAACATGCGCAAGACTTTTTTGGAGAGATATGGGTCAAATACCCCCTCGTAGAACACTTGGTACGTCTCGATGTAGAAAGCACGGTTTGGCTCGATACATCCACATGATCACCTGTCCATCAAAGAGAAGCTAATTCGCTTCAATAGATTCCCATTCATCTTGGGCAGACCTTCTTAGCCTTGATCAGGCTCAGGTGCATCATGAATGACGTAGCGAGCAAAGCACTTCCAGAAGAGGACGGACAAGACGAAATTGACTTACAGCAAGCATCCCGCTACAACAGTATGCTCATGCAATGGTTCCGTGAACTTCCCGAACCTTTACAGCCACGGAATATTGCAATGCCTTCCCATCTTCTTCTACAGTAAGGTGAGCGCCGGCCCACAGAATATTGGATGACTAACCTGGTGACTGCAGTATGCAATTCCATAACTTGATCACTATGACCTTCCAGCCTTTCTTGAAGCACGAGAAATCTTTTAACGTATTCAAAAAAATCGATGCTTTCCAAAATCAGGCCGGGTTCAGTCCGACGAAGCTGTTTAATACATCAAAGGCAAGTCTGCAAACACTACTTCACATGTTCTACCATCGACATGGCTTCGACGCCTACTATATATTCTTGCTTCAAGTCCTCGTCCAGCTCGGTTTCGACGCAGTGGAGCGTTTGCGCACCCCGGAAGCACAGCAAGAGCACTTCCCAGCCGTCATGAAGGCCACAAGAGCCACGCTCATCTTGTGCGCCAAGGGCTTGCGCGATCAGGGCCGTAACTTCTACCTGTCCGAGCTCATATTCCGCATACTCCGCGACGAAATGAATCCAGTCGATGTCAAGCTACTCAGGGATTGGGCACGCGTCAAGAATGAAGAAGAGAGAGAAGAGCTGATGATGGAGCACATCCAAAGCGACTACCCCGTGAACGTAGAGGCCATTACTTGTGACCCTACAGAGCGACGTCTGAACCGTCTTTTAAAGTCCATGGGCGAATTAAAGCTACCAGGTGATGGTGGTCCTTCATCAAGTACTCAGCATGTACAACAAGCATCTAGGACATGGCGGACTATCGTGTTCTAGTCATCACAGCTGGAGGGGGGGACGAATGTATGGAATACCGCGAGGTATAATTCACAAACAGCTGGACGGGGAACACAGAGACGTATAGGATAAAGCAAGGCATTATTCATGAACACACATAGATAATATGAGGGCATACACAGCGACAGTTCAATTAGTACTAGGTATCATCAGCACGAAAAAAAAATCAAAAGTTTCAGGGTGCAAGAACAAACCTTCCCAATATCTATCGCATGCAGCCTATGTCGCACCTCGAGATATCACATCCTTCCAGATTTACTCCTCACCCACTCCTCCTAGCTCCATCACCCCTAAGCCTGCGCACAAAAAATCCACCCGTCCACGTACCCCGTACTCTCCCACCACCCGGTCTTCCCGACCAAACTTGCCCAACCCGAAATCGAAAGCAATCGTATGGACCACCCACTCAGATCAGTAATCATCCTCCACCCAGTCTAGCTTCATCCGTGCATTCGAGACGATACTTCGGGAAGGAATCCCTTTTTGCTTGGCGAAGCAAGTGTCATGTACGCTCAAGCGGCATTTCTTGCCGAGCCAGCGAGTGAGGGGCAAGGGGGGAGCAAAGTGGTCTGATTTGTGGGTGCATCGGCCGATGAGTGGATTTGGTGTAGAGGGCTGTGTGGATAGTGGCAAAGTTTGGTGTGAGGGCTCGGGGAGCGTTTGGGTGTAGTGCATTTCGTGGGATGTGAGGGTGGTGGACGCGTGTGGGGGCTGTGGTGTGGTACATAGATGATATTTTGCGAGTTATCTTTTGATGGGGTTGTAGAACGGGGATGTATGTGCATTGTTTTTATGTTTGTTTATTGACACGATTGATACATCTAAGCTACATGCTCACGTGACAACCTCGATGTCGTACCATTTGCTCGGAGATTGTAGACTACTTTCTATGTACCCCTCAGATACACAAACCAATTTCCTCGCGAAGTAAATGCTTGAATCATCCCTTCTTTACCCTCTTTTGCTGCTCGCGTTTGTCGGCAATTTTCTGGAATATACTGCCGTCGTAGACGGCGCGTATGTCCTCCTTCTCAGAGTCAGTAATATGCTACAAAAGAAGCAAATCTTCCATTAATTACCTTCATCAGGCGACCGTCTTCGGGCCAAAGCATCAGATAAGTCGCGGACCCTAGCCAAATTAGCATATTCTCCCATGCCACTCTCCAACAACTTAGACTTACATTCGAAGATAAACCCACACCACCCGATTGGATCATTGATGTTCCTCTGTCCGGACAGCACATTTCTCAAGTCCTGAAATGTCAGGTAATCCCTTCCGTCCGCGTACTTTGTAAATATCTCCTCAAACTTTGCTGGTATAAACCTGCCCTCAGTATCATACGTTCCCGTGTCACTGCCATGACGCGCCCGATGCACATTGTGTAAAAAGAGGCGGAAATAAGGATCTGGCAGCCAGCCCGGGCAAGTGGGATACGAAAAGTTGATGTGGATTACCAGGACGGCAAAAGCGGAGAAGAAGATGCCAAGGCCTAGACGGTAGAAGCCGATGAAGGTGTCCTGCGGCCAAAGCACACCGTCGTGATCGCGGTCGAAGAAGTCGCAGTGTTGTTGAAGGACCGTTTGGTGGGCGTGTTTCTTTGCCCAGTCGTCTTTTGTGCTTCCTTGGGGTGTTTGTTCGGAAGGGGCGAGATTGGCGCGTGCGACGGCTTTTTTGGCGTTAGTAAGGTAAGGATGAGCATCATAGCTATGACCCGACGTACCTGCGTGCTGGAGTTTAGATTCCTTGTCGTTGATATATGGTTTTCTCTCCTCGGTAACGGGTACATTAGTGATCGAGTGTACGGGTATCCCATCTTGTTCCCCACATTCCTCATGCTCGTTTACTCCATTCATTTTCGCAATCATAATAGAGTTTGTTCGATGGACACAAAGAAAGATATAAGTGAAAGAAAGATCAAAGAGACATCCGCCCCCAAGCCATCACATTCCACACAATAAACCGTGAGATGCCCAGTCGCCCATACCGGATCGAGGGCTCACCATGACGTCAACGACTCTGCCAAACGCCGTAATGTACCGGCCCAAGCAACTTCGGGGTATATGCTCCAAGGCACGGACGCGTAATAATGTCAGTTTCCTAGGGAAACTTGCGACAGATAGGTGTATTTTGTACGTTGTTGTGGCTGCAGACGCCGGCATGCTCCGCGGCCAATCATGGAAATGTAGATTTGAGTTGCAGGGCGCCGTAACCTGATCGCCAGAGACGCATCAGATGTAAAGATCTCGACGAAGGACCCTGTATACATGGATAGGTAGCAAGAGCTCGAAATTCGTGCTCACTAATAGAGACTCGCCTATTGTTCTCAGGCATCAAGAAGAAGCACGATAGTAAAAGTATTATACGAAGGACACTCAGTGTGTGAGTGCAACAACAAGCCCTTAAGACCTTGACATGTGATTACCCTGTGCATACTTTGAATCCAACATCTTCTCCACGTTGTCAAGTATTGAAATCTCCAACTGGTAGAAGGCGACATCAGATGCAGTTGCACACAGGTTCATACATTCAAAGTGAATGCGATAGGAACTAAACATGAGTAAAGCGCGTTAAAGTGGGCCCAATCAGGGTGTAGTACAGCATTCAGGAACTTACGAAAAGATGCAAGAGCTGTGCAGTCTTCAACAGTCTTTCTCATCCTTGCAAGATGGATATAGCCAATAAGCATCGTTTAAGAACCGCTGGAAAGCGTTCTCTTGAAGTTTGCCGCGTTCGACAGTTTGCCTCTTACTTGCCTTCTTTGGCATGTTGAGCACGACCAATAGACGGGCGAGTTTGTAATCCTAAGCCTACGCAGTATTCGACAGTTACTCAACTAAACTGCCCAATGCGGTATATATGTCTAATCAGTAGGCGCGAGTTTACTTTCGGCTTTCAGTTTTGCCGCGTTCAACAGTGGTTCCATAAACCTGCCTAATACGGCAATTTGGATCTGGCTAATAGTTGCGCAAGTTTGGTACAAGTTTTTAGGGTTTTGCTGCGTTCCTCCCTTAATACGGTATATATCTAACTAGTAGACACGTAAGTTCGCTTTGTAAGTTTCGTTTAGAGCTACCTGTTACAAACCAAGACTAGATGTCTCCCCTAGACGAAGGATGCGAGGTTGGAGGCCAACTGTCGCGCAAGTCACAAGGTGATGACCCGCGCGGGGCGCGCCAAGGATCACGTGACTGCCATCACGCCAAGACGGTGCCATCAGTGATGGCATAACCTGAGGGTGATAGCACCCATCACATACTGAGGCTGACATCGGTGATGGCAGGCCTTGGCTGTGATGGCACAGGACAAAGGCAAAGAGTATATAGTTGTGGAGGATTCCCTTGATACACTCGTTGTGGTCAACTCTCTCATAAGTTCTTCTCTTACGCAGATTGATACTAGTTGTTCTATCGTTTATATAGAATTAGATTGTTCTTCCAAATACCTACTATCCCACCTAGTCGCCCGACAACCCACGCGGAACCAGTGATCGGAATGGTCTGGTCTGACTTGGTCTTGGTCTGGTCTAGACCGCCAAGACTTGGTCTGGTCTGGCGATTTTTTGAGACCGTGGTCGGACCGGTCTAGATGATCGGACCGGTCCGGCTATAAATAGGTCCACGTGACTAGATCTTAGACTAATCTAGCCAGAAAATTTAGCACAATATGAGTCATTAAGATCAAGGTAAGTCTTCTACTTACATAGAACAATCAAGTCCTTAACAACCTACTTATATACTATTGTTATGGAGCCTTCAACACCAACCTCACCGTCCCCATCGAATATTATAAGACTAGATTTAACGTCTCTTACTCCATCTCCTATCCCCACGTCATCACCCACCCCTATACTATCACCCACTCCTATTCAATATCACGAATCTCCAGATGAGTTCGTGCAGGGCGGTATCACGTACGTGAAACGTGCAATAATTGCAAGGAAGGATTTCCGTCAAGGTACATCACACATCTGGAAGTACGGACTCCAATACATTCGAGATAGCGATAAGAAAGAGGTGTATTACTGCCATGAGTGCAGGGTTGGGAAGAGCAAGCAAGAGTTGTTTGTCATCAATGGCACTTCTAGGATCCGGAATCACCTGGAACAGAAGCACCAGATTGATCCCCAGAGTGGCATCAAGCGAAAGGGTTCTGTACGGAAGTCTATAATCGACCAGCAAAAGGATGGGGCTGCTTCCAGCATCTTTTTCTGGAAGGAGTCAGTAGAGAAGTTTAAAGAGCTTCTAATTCGTTGGATTGTGTACTGCCATATCGCCTTCTTTTATCGAACACCAACTTTTCGAGATGACAAAAAGGTCCTGGATTACCCTTTTTTCATCTCAAATCTATTGAAATGCCTTCCTAGAATCAGTTTCCAACGCCTGTTTCTGAGTGCAGGCGTTGTGGCGGGCGCGCTGGCCGCTGCAACTTTGACAGAGTTGTGACCTGGCCTTAGTTGAGAGAAATCTCTGCAAGTGGTCCGTGCGCCAACTGATTTTAGATGTTCGATCGAAGGCACCCTCTACGAAACCGACAGAGCAACGGCTCTTCCTTAGGTATATAGCTCTATTGCTGCAAAGTAATAGGCCTATATATCTAGATGCTACCTATACCCGAACGCCCTAAACCAACTCGATATACCGACCCCATATACCGAACCGCTCCAGCACCTGCTGTCACCAGCACACGCACGAGCAAAACACCGACCAGGCACTAGATGTATAGATCTATTATCTCTCTTGTAGATCCCTATATACAGACGCCTACACCAAATACCCTCTCCACCGAACGCCCTAAACCGACTCGATATACCGACCCCATATACCGAACCGCTCTAGCACCTGCTTTCACTAGCACACGCACGAGCAAAACATCGACCAGGCAATAGCTGTATAGATCTATTCTCTCTCTTGTACACAGATGTCAATGAGCAAGCTGAGCGAGCTCAGCCAATTGGCTTGCTCAGCCAATTGAGCGGAGGCCAGCAGCTCGCTCGGCTCGCTCGGATTGGCTGAAACAGGGCTGTCAGCTCGCTCGGCTTGATGGGCTCAGTCCCGATTAGGAAAGTTATATAGAAACCTTGGTGTTGAGTTTCTCAGCTAATATCCCACTTATGTACACCGTATTTCGCGTCCATCTCCTCATCGCTGATAGCCTCCTTTACAGGCACCTCACCACTGCCAAATCCAGCTCTTATCCATCGTCGATCGCACTGTATTGCTGCTAGAAGTTGCGGAGAAATGCTGCGCCGACGGGGCTCGAGGAGGTCACCCAGCTCGCTGAATAAGCGCTCACACTCACAGCTTGAGCCTGGGATTGATAGCATGTCGATAGCAAATTTGCTAAGGCTGGGGTAGCGATCGCGGAGTCCTACCCAGTATTTTATAGGGTCGACGCCCTCGCTAGCGATCGGTTCGCTGCGTTTCCAAGCCTCATATTCATCCTCCTCGTTCTCCGTAAGCCCTGCAGGCTCAATAAAGCTGTTGATAGCGTCGTCTATATCATTGTGCCTGACTTTGGGGCGTAAGCGCGGCTTCGGTAAGCTTTTGTACTCCGCCCACAAATGTTGAAACTTGCGGTTGCTGCTCTCTAGCCAATCAGGCTTATCCGCCCACGCTGCGTCAAGGTAGCTTTTGTAGCGAGGATGAAGGATTGTAGCAGCATAGTAAGCTGGCGAGAGGTCGAGCTTGTTGTAGTACTCGCGGGCTTTAACTAGGGCAGCGCGGAGGTTGATAGCAAGGTGGTCTTCGGGTGACTCTGTATGCTCATCGTGAATGACGTCTTCATAGCTTTGCAAGCGGTCCTCATAGACTCCAAGTAAGTATTCAAATACTGGAATAACCTCAGCGATTGCTCCAAAAGCACCGCTTTTGCCGCGGCCTTCAAGCCGTTTTGTAGCTTGTTTCAGTGGCCTGAGCACATCAATATACTCAGCAATCACCTGCCAGTCATGGGCATTGATCCCATCAGACCTCATCCAATCCGGCGCTGCAGGCAGCTTGTTGTTACGACTTCGGGCGTACGCGTCTTCAGTTTCAATCTTCTGAATATGGTAGTTGGCGTACCCATTAACCGCTAATTGCAACTCAACAGCGCGCTCAAAACACGAAACGTAAGAGTTCCAGCGAGTAACAACTGGCTTGACGGGCTCCTTGATTTTGTGCTGTTCTGTTGGCGCGTTGACAGGCTGGTCCCTAATAGCGAGCTTCTGATACTTCTCAAAAAGAGCGTACTGTTGTGGTGTTTTGATGTAGTTGATAACCGCGAGAAGCACTCCCAATGGTCCATCGCCTCGCCAAGTAGCCATGTTCTCAGCTTCGTTCACGCGCTCAGTCTCCTCGTTGTCGTAGGACTCTTTCTCCTCACCCCAGAGTAGCATCTGGCCAATGAGATTAAGCGTATGAGGACCGCAGCGAAGGCGACGCTCGGTAGCGCTGAAGCCCATCTGCAAGGCGAGAGTGTTGATCGTGGTGTTGTTGTTATGTGCGTTGTCGAGGACGAAGTAACCGAGCTTGCCCACAGTGATTTCGAACTGCTTGAATATTGCCATCACGACCTCAGCCATGGCCTCGCCGGTGTGGGCACCTGTCAGTTGTGGGAGCGCAATAGGCAAGTCCCTGAGCTCGCCAGAGCTATCAACGTAGTGGGCGACGATACCTAAGTAACCGCGCTTGCCACCTTTTGTCGTCCATCCGTCAAAGCTTATATGGACTTTGCTCATTGATTCTGAAAGGCTTGCGACAACCTTTGGTAACAGGTAGTTGTACAGGCGTATAACGTATCGTGAGACGCTGTTATGAGATGCCCACAGGGCTCGTTCTGCCTCTACGCTAGCTAATTGTATCATATTGCGAAAAGACGATGATTC